CCCCCAATAAAAAAAAGAAAGAAAGAAAGAAATTATACTTTAAAATGACTAATTTTAAAAAATGAAAAATAAATTCTAATTACCTCATGTCTTTCCTTTTCAGTTATCAATTAGGTAATCAACAGATTATCGTTCTGGGGAAACGGTTCAGAAAAATTTAGAATATATGTGTGCAAACAAAGCAATAAATGATAACATACAGAGAAAACTGTGGAACAATTGTGTGCAAGACAGTGTGAAAAACATTAAAAGAGCAGGCATCTTTTCTTTAGCAGGTGTCTCAGTCTCAGTTATAATGGACAAAACATTTGTTAGCCAAACAAAAAATGTGAGGGCTGGTCTGTTGTCTCTTTATCGACAATCCAAGAGACATTTATTAGAAAACAGATGACGAAGAGTATGGGTTGACATGAAAGATATAATGATCAAAAAAAGTTTTCTTTTTTTGTCACACAACATACACTTAACAAACAACAATATCGGCAGAGGGAACTAAATTACTAAATCCGGGATAATCCAGTTTTGGCCTTAAATATAACTATGGAGTGAGTTTTGACTCCACCGACGAATACTTTTGGTTCTAAACAATTACTTTTCGATGCGCTTGCCAATATATAATGATGCTTGATGTGCTGCGAGCCAGAAATATCAAACCAAATTATGGTTAAATTTCAGGGGGCATGCCTCCCCCCTCCCCCCATTTTTATTGGGTCATTAAAAACAAGCAAAAATATTACTGCTCATTTTGTACTAAAAAATAGCAGCGCATCTCTCGCTCTCTTTCAGATAAAACATCGACACCGAGCACTTAGCCAGTACAGTATTGAAATCCAGTAGTAGCATGGCCTACTGTACTCTTGGGGCCCAAACCGGAGAATGCCCAAAGTCCAAATTAAACTCTTAGTTTTAGTAAGACTTTTACGGCACTTGCAACACAATACCCTCATATAAGTGCCAAAGATTAGAGGTGTCACAAGAGAGTAACAAACATAAAAAAGGAGGAGAGATTAGGACGATAGAATAATAATAATAATAATAATAATAATTGCATTTATATAGCGCATATCCATGCTCAAGAGCATGCTCTATGCGCTTTACAACTTTACAAGAAGGACCAAACCACACCTGAGCACCTGCCAACCACCCACAATTAAACTCTCATGAGCAATACAACTTAAAAATGATATGGAGATCAGTCCCTCATAGAAAAATACATTGTAAAAAAAACCCAAAAAAAACTGACATGGTATGAATAATGGAAGTGCCTGTTTGAAACGCTGCAATTAGCCCCAGTACTAAATAAAATGCCGTGTTGCGATTAGCGACAGTGCTAAATAAAACGCCGCTTGTTGATTAGCCCCCCTACTAATTAAAACACTGAAGCCTATATCAGGCAACGTCATGTGAGATTTCCAGTCAGCCGCCCGGGCTGAAAGGGATACCAGGAGGGGGAGATAGAGAAAGAAAGGGGGAGAGAGAGAGAAAAGTAAAAGATATAATATAAAGAAATAGAAGATGGGTGGAGTTTTACGATCATAAATGTTAGGGAGTGTGTGTGAGAGAGAGAGAGAGAGAGAGAGAGAGAGAGAGAGAAAGAAAGGGGGAGAGGGGGGGGGAGAGAGAGAGAGAGAATTTTTTTAAAAAATAGTAGAGGGTTTTACGGCGCTCGCAACTGCATATAAGGTCAAATAATTATGAGCGCGAAGGGGTGGGTGTCAACAGAGAAGTCTAAATAGGAAATCAGACTTAGACTGCTCACCTCTCTAGCTTCAACAGCACAAGTCTGCTTCGACTATCAAGGCACCCCAAAATAGCAGGTCACAAGGGAGTGACAAACATACAAAAGAAGTAGAGGGAAATGACAATAGTAAGGACCAGGAAAGAAAAAGCAGCAGTTCCCTGTTGTAGATCTGGAACAGTTATGAGCATGACATGAGTCAGCCCATTTACAATTCTACTATGCTTGGATAAGATTTCCCCCCTTTGGGAATGGCCTTAAGACACTTCAGTCTTCAGTCAGTGGCACTGCCCCTGGGGGTAACAGAGAGAATGAAAGACAGACAGAAAGGAAGTGAGTAAGAAATAAAGAGGGGGAGAGAGAGGGGGAGATAAAGTGTGTGAGTGTGTGTGTGTGTGTGTGTGTGTGTGTGTGTGAGAGAGAGAGAGAGAGAGAGAGAGAGAGAGAGAGAGAGAGAGAGAGAGAGAGAGAGAGAGATCTGACTAAATCTAGACTAGATCTAGATAAAAAATATTATTATTTTCACCCTGGGTGAGAATAACGACACTTCCTAAAATCTAAAGGGAGTGTATACAGACCCGGTAACTGAGAACAAAGTCACAAAGTATACAGACCCGGTAGGGGAACTCTTTTGTGATTTTGGAGAGTTATAGCGCCCTCTTTGGCCTTGGCTCAGGGTTGACCTAGGTTCTTCTAGATATCTATGGCGGCCTAGGTCTAGATCTAGGCAGACAGATAAATCTTTGATCTAGTTTCGCGGCTAGCCTAGATCTAGATCTAAATGAAGATTGCGGACGTCTTTTCAATGAACGATCGTTTTTCCTCCATTTTGGAGTTCGAGGAATGGCAGTTTGAAGAAAAGAACAATGTCATAATTTCAATTGAGCAGCCACCCTCTCTATTTCTCTGTCTCTCTTTCTCCTCTGTGTATCGCTCGCCTTCTCTTTTTCTTTGTTTGTCTCTGTCTTTCTTTGTCCCCACCTATTTCCCACTCTATCTTTCTCTCGTGGCCGTCGTTATTCGGACTCGAGTCCGAATAACATTTTTTCATATTCGGACTCGAGTCCGAATTTTAAAAATTCTTATTCGGACTCGAGTCCCAATATAATGAAAAAATGTTATTCGAACTCGGGTCCGGAAAAAAGGAAGTGTCTTCGTTCTATTGATCTAACTTTCAGTGCTTCCAATTTTCCGCCATTTTTTAGCTCCCCCCACACCTTTTCTGC